CTTGTCTGGATGCAGATTCAACGAAAGTCCAGCGACGGCAAGGTGCCCGCGCGAGTGGACTGGCCGATTCAGTCCAACAGTTTCGAGAGGGAACGCGATTGCGCCTGCGTGGCGCGCGCCAATGCCGGCGGGCCCAACGACCGCGAGCACGCGGCGATCAAGGACGGGTCACCAGGAGCTGAAAACGATGCGACAGCCACTCCACGAAGCCCGAGCAGGTGCGCGTCACCCCGTGGTCGGACATTCCATGGGACGCGCGGGAACATTGCGCGGGTCTCCGAGGCTCGGTGGCACCGACCGACGAGAAGGAGCCGTAGAAGGTCAAAGACAATTTGCATTGCCTACATCGCGTTTTCGGACATGCCCCCTTGGGCAACCTCGCTCGCCTCCATTAGGGCGCGAACAAGTCGAAGAGGTCCGCGGAGCTTGCGAGGTGTCTCCAACGCGAGGCTTGCGAGGCCAGTGAACAAGGCAACCGAGAAGTGCCCGGAGCATCATTGCTCATGATACCCAGGCCTTGGAATATCATTGGTATGGACACGCGCGAGATGCCGTTTTACAGGCGCAAGTTGAAGCTCAAGGCAGGTAGGTGGCTACGGAAAATGGCGCGACGGAGTCGGACTCCGAGCCCAAGTCGCCCGAAGGGATGATGGAGGCATTGTCTAACCAGTGACTCTAGCAGAAGCCCAGGCCCAAGTTCTGGACATGCGACAGCGGGCCACCCTTCGAGAGGAACCCGTTCGCCGAGAGTTCCATGGAGATGGGAGTCGACCAGCGCCTCGCGCCAGGACAAAGACCACCCGCGCACGTGGGGAGCTCCAGAATGCAACCATACATGTTGAGGACTTGCCTGAAGATCGAGTCCGGCACCCAGTCTAGCACGGGGAATACGATCTCGCTCTCGCTTTAGGCGATCAGCTCGGCGGAGCAGGCGCGCGGCTGCACGCAGCCCATGTCAGTGGGCGTTTGGGGCAGGTGACCTTCGGAGAGACTTTGCGGTCGAGCTCTTGAAACGCCGCTTCGGGGCTGAAGCGAATGAGACTACATATTGCGAGCAGTTGGGGGCAAGACCGGCGAGCGCAGAGATATGCGACAAGAAAGTTCGCGCCTTGGAAAGATTCTGAGACGCAAATACTGCGGCCGACTAACGCCGCCGCAATTGCAACGCGGGCTGGCTGCGCCCGTGGAGGATGATGCCTCAACAAGGGTACCGACGAGCTCATCGGCTTGGCCCAAGGCGAGCTGCAACGGTGGAGAAGCACCCGTGGCAAGTGCCAAAGGCCCCAGGAAACGTATCATTTGGATGATCAGCGGCAACAAGTCACTGATATGTTAGGTGGTCAGCGCGAGGCCAGCTACCAAACGAGAGTAGGCCTTCATTCAAAGAGCAGACGTCGGAGCACGAACGCCGTGAGCGGGGGGCCCGATGCCCAGCCGACGCTCCGGGGGTGCCAGCGGCGACGTGTCCAGAGAACGCGACGGAGATTGATCTGGGGAATCCACCGCCAGCCATGGGTTGCATGCGACGACACGGACCACATGAGCCAGCCCGCGGTGTCAAATTTGAGCTGAGAGCATTGACGAATGGATCCGACGGAGGGCGAGAACTTTGGAAGTTCGGCGGCGATCTCGAGGAACAACTTCGAGAGCGGACCTCGAGAAGCGTAAATGCGTTTAAGGGGGGCGCGGGAACCAGCCAGCCAGGGGCGACGCGGGGGCGGCGCGTAGAGCCCCATCGCGCCAAGGACAAACAAAGACGCGAACGAGGAGCCCATGCGAGAAATCGAATACAAGGGACCTGATTGCACAGGTCATCATGTTCCACGCCGCTGGCGATGTCAGGCGCGTCGCCTATGTCGCCACCGAGCAGGAGTTAGACTTCGCCTTGTACATTATCGACCTGAGTGCCAGCAGCAGGAACGACAGGGGCGCGGACCGAGACCCCCGCGACGTGTTCCTGGTCAAATGGCTGCATGGCATGGGGGTCAGTTGCGGCGGGCTGACGTCGGGGGACCAGACTCCTTCGACGAGGCCATGGCGAAGGAGTTAATGGAGCGGGTGCAGCGCGAAGCTGTTCGGCGATGTCACGATGAACCGAACAGAGTCAGCGCGAACTCGCAAGGGATTGTTCGAGCCAGGTGGCTTCTGGTCTGACCGAATGCACTTGCAGGCGAAATTGGCGTGTCTGCGCAGATGCGCAAGAACATGTTGGTCGCAGACTCGGCGACCGTTTTCCACGAATATTGCGCGGGCAAGGCGAAGGCCCGCATCTTTCTGATTGGATTCGATCGCGGCGCAGTCGTGGGCACGTTCTCGCGCGAGAAGTCGAGCCCAGTAGTGGCCCGCGCCGCCGAGCTGTTGGCGAGACAGCAAACGACTTTGAGAAGGGGAAAAGCGAAAGATAGCAATGCCACGACAGCCGTGCACGCAGATCGAGGAAGACAATGAAGAACGCCACGCGCATGGACGACTGGCGTTGCAGAACTATCCGCAGCGATGGGCATTCGCGCTGAGAATTTCGAAGGCCGCTCACGGGTACGCGCCAGCACTGAGAACGTCATGGGGGGATTTCGACAAGAAGATTGCCGATCTACGCGACGAGGAAGGAGACGATCCAGGTGGAATCCGGGCCCAAGGAGATTCCATTGTACTTGCGCGGAGAAGCGGGGCGAAATGTGCATGCCCATCGGACGAGCCAACTCGCGCGTGGACGGCGAAGAGTCGTCTAGGAGATAGAGCAGCCCACGATTGCTGAGAATACGAGAGAGCACCATGAAGACGCGGGCTCGGTGAATGCAGCGAGAGCCAAGACTGCACAACTGCCAGGGCGCCTGTGTTAAAGTTAGCCAGCCACGACCCCGAGCTGGACCCGGCCGCCCAAATTCGAACAGGTGACAGACATCGAGCCGAACCGCGGCAGCTTAGACCGCACGAGCGAGAAGATCACGAACAACGAGTATTGGGCTGGACGACCCAGCATGGGACAGCGACAATGGATTTCAGCCAAATCAGATAGCAGTCGAGCTACAAGCCCGAGCGGGGACCTTCATGGGGGCAGCGCGCGAGATGCAACGCATGATGTCGGAGGTCCGTGACACGGACCATGTTGGCATAAATAGTCGGAGGTCCCCACGTGGAATGGACTGGCACCATCTAGCAGCAATGGGATTTGGAGACGCTTCGGGGATCAATCGCCCGAAGGGAGGAGCTACCGGAGGCTGGAGGCTTGCTCATTGGCCTTGGATAAGGCGAACCATCAATGGCGAGACCGCCGCTGTCAACATCGCAAGGGGCAAGAGCTGGAAGCCCGAGAGGAAGGCCATCGCTTCCAATGCCAGTGAGATCCATGCCATGACCGCGACTGGGAATGGTCCACACCGGGTGCGACCTTTTTAGTCCGATATCAACGGACATGAGTTGAAGTTTCGGACTGACGTTGAAGGAAGAGGCAGGGAGTGCACGAACCGGATTGCCGCGATCTTGGCTACATACAGCAAGGGTTTCTTCGACGCCGCCCAGAACAAGAAGAGCCCAACCTTCTGGGGTACTTCAGAGGCCAGCGCAATCAGGGATACTTCCAGCAACATCAGTGAACACCTGCGATGGCTCGCAGGAGACTGGAACCTAGCCGACATGAGCACCAGGAAAAAGGAATGCGTATGGAAAGGGCGTACCATGTGAAAGAAAATCGGACGGTAGAGATTGAACTACAGTTCTAGCTTCGTCACCGCCGAGGGGAAAGAAAAAGGGCAACCGTGCCTACGAGAAGATGAACGAACCACTACCAGCGAATGGAGTTCAATCTGAAAAGAGTAGCGACCAGTGCAGTTCTGAGACGCGTTTCGGCAGGTGTCCATACAGGTCAGTTTGAGTTTGTTTAAGGGTGCCCCTTGAGGAACCCACAGGAGACCTCTAGAGGCCCTTGGTACCCATTGGCCAGAGTTTAAGGCACTTTCATCGTCACATGTGTTTTGGAGGTTGTCTCGAGAATCTGTCAACTACTTCTCCTCCCCAGGCCCCCCTTGGCCTTACTGCGCGCGCTGGTAACGGTTACATAATGTGGATAAGCGTTCCCCTTGTCGGTCAGAAGGAGTTGATATTGTCTCGGATTTCGGCGGTTCCGATTTTGTACTACTCACCGCTGCAAATATGGACAGGCGTCCCATCCCCCGACTCTTAGCATCGCTCGGACGTGTGCAATTTTCCTCGGAGGGGGCAATCGAGGAACATTCTGGATCATCGTGCGAAAAGATACGCACTACACCGACACATGCACGGGGAATGGACGTTCGAACGATGGCAAAGAACGGGGGGGAGCTTACGTTGCAGCCTGGGGGGAGGCCTTCCCTTTCCCTTCCTCGGGTGGCAAAGAATGATGGAAGCATAAAAGGCTCGGAGACCCGCGCGGATTTTGAATCCCCCTCCCTTGCGCGCTGGGCGCGCCAGTGGCGTCAGCACAGCTCCGAAACATATCAGTGTTTGTTTCCCTGTTCCGCACCGTCCGACGTATATTCGTCGCAGGAGCCGTGGGATCTCCCAGGTTTCATGGCCTTATCCTGCGGCGCACCAGGGGAAATGACAGGGAACAGGCAGGTGGGAGGGGAGCGGAGCGGAGGGAGGAGGGGAGGGAGGAGGGAAATGTAAGGACGGAGGAGGGGGCGAGGAGAATGGATTGCCGAAATCCCTAATCGGTTCTCGTGAGCCCGATCTTGAGACGTGCATTGGAAGAGGTTCCAATGATGATTCGAAACCTCACCATTCATTCGGTATGTTTGCTTGCTCTGAGCAAGCTGAATTGAGCATCGAATGTGTCTCCCGAAGTGCTCTTCTCCAAGTCCCTCGGACCATGTGTTGGTCTCGTCATTGTGGACCCAACCGTCTTGGACACTCGAGCTTGTCATTCGGAACTTGCCCGAGTTGATTTGTATGTGGCGTCTTTGTATAATTGTCCAGCGGCTGGTTGCGCTTTTACTTGTAATTGCACTAGCATGTTTCTGCAGGTTTTGTCTCCAGTGACTTGTCCAATGACGACATCAAGGTTACGCAGCGCAATCGCGTTCCTTGCTCTTCCCTCTTTGCACCATGAGTTGTTTATTGTCCGGCTGGCTGCATTCGACCTTTGCCTCCGTGCTAGCTCAGTTTAGAATGTATTGCAGCTTTACTGATGATATGCGCACGATAGACCCTGCAGCTGCGGATAGGAATGAGAGGGCCGCGAGGTCGTCGGCAGCCTGCGGGGCTCGAAAACGATTTCGAAGAAGCCCGCCGCAGGCGCCGAACTCTTACGCACTGCGCCACGAGCCCGTCGCAGGCGCCGAGTTTTCCATCAAGCCAACGTGGGTGTGTCGCAGGCAGTTCGCGAGAAGGTCGCGTGCGGGTCGCAGGGCGAGGACGACGACAGTGACAGACAACAGGCATTTTGACCGCGGAGCCCCGCTGCGGTCACGCGCACAGGGGCAGGGTAAGACCGCTCGGTCCTCTCACTCTGATACCTCTGATACCTTGGCATCGCTCAGACGTGTGCATGCTTCCACGTCGAGGACCATCGAGGAGCATCCTGGATCATCGCGGGGAAAATACACGCACGAAATCGGAAAATGCATGGGGAGTGGACGTCCGAACGATGGCCAGATACGCACATTGAACCGTATTGGGGCCGCCTGGGACTCAGCGCGAAGATGTTGCAGAACGGCGTGGCCAGAACACACTGCGTGGTGATTGTTGCGTTGCCTTTGGGGCGCTTTTATCGGAGGCTCCTCGCGGAGCCTTTTCGGAGCTTCTCGGGGCTGCCTCCGGGGGTATTCTGCGGCAGCCTTGCAACAAAAACCCAGGGCTCCGAGCCCGCACATCGGGCGTCGCGAAAATTGTCGAGACGGTCAACTTTTTATACACATGGTATACACATACATGTGTCTATACACATATCTATATATATATATATATATAAACAAGTAAATAGCTCCCCAAAAGATCATACATCTCGTCTTGAATCGCATTTTATTGTGATTATCTTTTCCCTTCTACTTCATATACGTCTTAACACTTTCCCTCCTCATCGCTTCTCTCCTCATCTCTCCCTCCTCTCCTCCTCATTCGCCTCATTTTCCTCCTCCTCCTCCTCCTCATCCTCCTCTCTCCTCCTCCTCCTCCTCCTCCTCCTCCTCCTCCTCCTCCTCTTGCCGCTCCCATCACTAGTCATTCTTCTCTTTGTCATCATCTCATCATCCGCTCATTTTTCTCATCCTCTTCGTCCTCTTGTTATTGTGCCTCTATATATATCCCCAGGAGGGGGATGATGAGGACGAGGAGGAGCTAGATAAGACGAGCGCGACCCGATGATAATGATGATGTGCCGATGATGGTGATGATACTGGTGATACTGATGATACTGATGATACTGGTGATGATGCTGGTGATGATGATATTATGGTGATGGTGCTGGTGCTGGTAATGCTGATGGTGTTGATGACAATTATGATGATGAATGATGGTGACACTGATTACGATGATGCCGACGATGATGGTGGTGCTGACGTTGATGGTGATTATGATGATACTGCTGATTGTGCTGATTTCGCTGATGATGATTACCGTGATGGTGATGGTAATGACGATGCTGATGCTGATGATGATGTTGCTTGTGATGATTATGACTCTGATTATGATGCTGATTATGATGACGATGATGCTGACGATGACGATTGTGATTCTGATCATGATGATGCTGGTAATGCCGATGCTGATGATGATGATGATGATGAGGAGAAGGAGGAGGAGGAGGAGGAGGAGAGAAGGGGGAGTAGGAGGGCGATGAGTGACACATCACAAGCTCTTCTCCCTCCTGCTCAGCGAGGAAGGAGGGAGGAAAGAGGAACGCGCAGGAGGTCCTCCCTCCTCCTCAGGAAGGGAGGAGTGAGGAGAGAGGAGAGCGCAGGAGGGAGGAAGGAAGGCGAGGAGGAGGAGGAGGAGGAGCCGGATGAGGAGGAGTGAGGAATTCTCAATGAGGAGCGAGGAGGAGGGGAGAGGGCGAGGTGGGAAAAGGATGAGGAGTGAGAAGTGAGGAGCGAGAAGTGCGGAGTGAGGAGTGAGGATGGTTGAGGAGTCCATACCAACCAGTCTGCATCAGCTTTCTCAGTGAAGGCGGCAGTGATGGGGGAAGTTTGGAAGTCGTGTTTTGTAGGTTGCTAGCATTTCCTTGTGCATTTGTTGGTTGTTCCTTGTTTTTTGGGGGGACTTGTAGTGCCCAGCCTCCTCGTCCTCCTCCTCCTCTCTCCTCCTCGTGGAAGGCAGACCTAGTGTGCTGGAGGAGAAGGAGGAAGAGGAGGAGGAGGAGGAGGAGGAGCAGGAGGAGAAGGAGGAGAAGGAGGAGGGAGGAGGGAGGAGGAGGACGACGACGAGCAAACGACGGACTGGGGAGAGCATCATCATTATCTTCTTCCCCTTGCTCCTTTTCCTCCTGCTCCCTCGTCCTCGCTTCTCTCCTCCTCATCTCTCGTCCTTCTCACCTCCTCCTCTCTCCTCCTCCTCCTCCTCCTCCTCTTCCTCCTCCTCCTCATTCGCCTCATTCTCCTCCTCCTCATCCCTCCTCCTGCCGCTCCCATCACTACTCATCCTTCTTCTCCTCCTCATCTCCTCACCCCCCTAATCCTCCTCATCCCCTTCGATTGTGTCCCTCTCTACCCCCAGGAGATAGATGATGAGGAGGAGGCCGAGGAGGAGGAGATGAGAGACGAGGATGAGGAGTAGCAAGATAAGATGAGTGCGAGCCCGATAATGATGCTGATGATGATGATGATGATGAGGAGGAGGAGGAGGAGGAGGAGGAGCAGGAGGAGGAGGCTCTCTCTCTCTCCTCCCCCTCATTCTCTTCCTCCTCCTCTGGTCCTTCTCGTTCTCCTGTCCCTCTCCTCATCCAAACACAATTCCTCCTCATCATCCGCCTCCTTATCCGTTCCGTTTCTTCTTCTCGGTAGCAACTAATAATTAAAAGTTTTTGGCGCTCCCAGTGCAAGGACACGCTGTATACAAACATATATATATATATATATAGATATATAGGTCTGGGATGCAAGGAGACACTGCGAATGTTTGTTGTTTGGTGGGGTTGTGGAGCTCCGGAAGAGAAGGAGGAGGAGGTGCGGGGGGGGGTATGCCGCGGGGAGCACTTAAGCTTCCAAAACAAACAAAACGCAGTGTTTCCTTGCATCCCTGACCAAAAAATACACCACAACCAAACAAACACAGCCTTCCCTTGCACTGAGGGCGCCAAACACTATGTGTTCTTGGGTTTCTTGATTTGCAACAAGGAAGAGGAAGGGAAAGAAAGGAGAAGGAGGGGGAAACAGGAATGGGGAGAAGGAGGAGGTGCTGGGCTGGGGGGGGGAGGCCGCGGGGAGCACTTGAGCTTGCAATATCAAAAAACACAAGCAGTTGTTCCTTGCATCCCAGACCACAAAAACCAAACATACACAGCGTTCCCTTCCACCGAGGGCGCCAAACGCTGTGTATTCTTGGTTTTGTGTGGCTGCAGAGAAGGGGAAACGGAAAGGAGAAGGATGAGGAGGATGAGGATGGGCGAGGAGGAGGAGGAGGAGGAGGAGGAGGAGGAGTTGTGTTTGGAGAAGGAACTCAGGGAAAGGAGAAAGAGAAGGAACGGAGAAGGATGAAGGAGGAGGAGGAGGAGGATCGGAGGATGAGGGGAGATGCGGATGAATAATATTCAAGACGAGATGTATGATCTTTGGGGAGGGGGCCACAGATATATACACATATATATATATATATACGCACATATATGTGTATATATACAATTATACATATATATGTGTATACATATATATCTATCTATATATATGTGTGTGTGCTGGGGCTCTGGAGGCCTGCTCGGGGACCCGGGACCGTCGGAAAAAAGGCCGGCTCGGAACGACGAGCTGGCCCAGGGGGCGCGGTCGAGAGGTCCGGGGGCCCACGCGCGTGGGCGGCCAAGAGGGGGGGGGGGTCACGATCGAGGCCTCCTCGACGGGGTCGGAGCCGACGGGGTCGGAGGATCGCGCCGCATCGCCGATGCATCGGCGATGCGGCTCGATGTGGAGCCCGATTTGCTTCACGACGACGTCGCCCATGCATCGCCGACGTCGACGATGCATCGCTGGTGCATCACCGATGCATCGCCGATGCATCGCCGATGCGTCGCCGATGTATCGGCGATGTGGCGCGATCCTCCGGCCCCATCTACTCCGACCGCATCTAGGAGGCCTCCAGATGACCAGGGGGGAGTGGATATCGTGGCGGGGGCCACGAAATCCCCCCAGATCTCATGGCGCCTCTTCTTACTTCAATGCGTCCCCTGGCCCCCTCCCCCCTGGGCCGCGCACGTGGCGCTGGCCATGCTTTGCGTCCCCCCCCCCCCCCCTCTTCGACGCCCCCCTCTTGGCCGCCCCCGGCTGGGGACCAGCGCGTCGAAAAAGCCAGTGCGCAGGATGATCGGTAGGTTGGGGGCAGGGTCGTGCTGAAGCTTGGGTGAGCGTACGGGCGGACCGAGGTAGAAAGATCGATGTCGGCTCGGGGATGGTACCCTGATATTATTCGTGCTTGTTGATTGTTCTTCGGGTAGGGGATCGACTACAGAATTGATTTGCCCCGAACTTGATTTTCTCGTCGAACATGAGAAACATGCGTTGAATAGTCGACAAATCTACGGAGCATTGTAGGTATGTTCCGTAGACTCGTTGGGACATCGATTTTGGGGTACATCGATTCTGCAGTCGATCCCCTGCTCGAGGTCTTGTGCCTTCGGGGGGAGGGTAACCAATGTTCAGGAAGGGCGGGAGTGGCTCGGTGCAGCGGAGGGGGAAGCGAACAGGGGTCGAGTTAAACGGTGTTTTGGCGATTTCGTGGACTTTTTTCGTTTCCATGTCTCTGCAGCAGAGGCTGATTGAAGAGAAAAGGAGGGACAAGGAAAACAAAACGAAAACGAAAGGACAACAAAAGGTAAACAAACAGAAAACGAAAGGAAAACATAAGGAAAACAACTAGGGC